GCTCCATCCCAGGACCCTGGGATCATGATCTGAGCCGAAGGCAGATGCTTAACCAACTGAGCCACCCAGGCGCCCCAGACTCTCAGAATTTTGAAACCGCTGACAAGCTTTCATAAACTTTTTCTTTATCCTTTCAGCGGACCAGTTCCAGTTGCAAATTCACAAGGCAAGAACAGGTGTGCAAGTTTGTTTATGGTAGAAGGTGGACTCTACTGGTTTGGGCCCCTAGTTGATGCTGCTCTGTAGGAGGGGGCAGGGTTGCAGCTGAGCATTCTTTCTATGGAAATGAAGCAACAACAGCTTGGCATCGTTTGGGCATTAACCAATATTCCAACAGCCAGAGATTGCTCAACGAAACACACCTCTTCCCGCCTCCACCCAGGGAAAATGTTGGAACGGGGGACAGGGAAATCTCAAAATGGACCCCACTTATAGTCCGTCCCTGGATTCCTGCTTTCTCTCTTACCTTCTCCACCAATCCATCTCCTTGACAAGATTATTGCGAGGAAGGAGTTAATGAGTACACAGCTTTATTTTCCTTGGAAGAGAGATACAAAACAGGCTCCGAGCAGGGCTGTCATCACCCTGCAGGTCTTCAGGGGTTTTATAGGTAATTATTAACCCTTTGTGGCATTCCTGAGAAAAAAACCTCTATGCTGAAAGCACCTACTAAAATTTTCCATCTATAGTATGTATATGGACTCTTGATTTTTTCAGTGTCAGGATTCAAAAACAATTTAAAAAATCAGCCTTAGATGTATATAGCCCTAAACAGTTTATACTGCCCCTCGAGTCCTAAATCAAAATGGATTCTTCCTTAACTGTCTTAGCACTCAGGTCAGAAGTAGCATTATCTTTGTTTTCCATTTGAGAAAACTGAGGCTTAAGGAAAGGTTTCATGGGTAATGAGGCCTGGCTAGCATCCAGGTCTTTTGACTGCTGCCCTGGTACTCTTCTAATGTACTGAACATGATAGAAAACCTCTTCTAACAGTGAGAAAGCACTTCTGAATCTCAGCATTCTATAAAACCACCAATTATCACCACCCTTGAACTGTAACAAACTGCCATAATTCGGTCCTATGGAATTTGTGTTAAAAAAAAAATTCCCATGATCATCCTGCTTTCTTGTTATTTTTATCATTTGCTTCTCTTCCCACTTGGTGATTTCAGGCTATTTAAATTTTTGGGTTCCTCTTTTTCAATGAGTTTAAGATGCTTAACTGCTAGGGCTTCCGTATTTAAGAGAGACTTGTAGCGATTCTCACTGGGGATTTGACTCCATGCTGACCCCAGAGTTTGGTCTCTGGTAGATTAAAATGAGCCGGAAATCCTAAAATCCCTGGATGACCCCTTCAAGGGATAAATAATTTCAAAATTGTGAAAATGGCAGTGGAGGAAAATGAGGACCCAGAGTCCCCAAATCCACTGTTGCTCTGTGCTGAGTGTGCCCAGACTTGCTCTTTGATAAGCAGGGACATGGACTCCCTTAGAAATTTGCCATTGTTGTTGTTGTTCAGGTCTCCTTGATCTTAGGTTGTGGCCATAGACGATGAATTCTCTCCCGAGCCCGACATCACTGCTTTCCAAGCCCACACTCTCCTTTCAATCACAAGCAGGTTGCTAGTATGTGGGCAAACTTCCATACATGGTATGGGGAGCAGACATGACTTCATGCTCTGCTGTAGACGAGAGGAACTGCCAAGGCTGAGGCGCCCAGTCCCCCCAAGTGTTCCTTGGTTTTGGAATTCTTTTCTCTGGCTGCGTGGTAACTAGACCACAGGGGATGCTTTAAATTTGTAGGCACACCCTTACCTTGCAGATTCTCAAACCCAACCTCCAGAACTTCAGGATCCCAAAAGAGCGTCACACAGGTACACAAGCATTTGGAAAACATCTGACAATAAATATCCATTTTACAATACTGAAAGATAATTTTAGGTCAGCAGCTTAAGAGGGTCAAGGAGTTCAATTTCTTTTTGCTGCATAGATTGTTTCATTTGGGGGTGGGGGCGAGGCCAGGAGGATCCGACTGTTTCCTTTAAGGAAATGTTCATGAGTAGTTTACATTAAATTACTGTTTTGTGTTTCTTGGTCTTCCAAAGCTTAAGAAACATTGACATAGAAGACCTCATAAAGGGGCGCCTGGGTGGCTCAGTCGTTAAGCGTCTGCCTTCGGCTCAGGTCATGACCCCAGAGTCCTGGGATCGAGTCCCACATCAGGCTCCCTGCTCAGCAGGAAGCCTGCTTCTCCCTCTCCCACTCCCCCTGCTTGTGTTCCTGCTCTCACTGTCTCTCTCTGTCAAATAAATAAATAAAATCTTTAAAAAAAAAAAAGAAGACCTCATAAATTTGGGGGTCCTTCAAATTCCATTCCTTGGCTTATTATTATTTTGCTGAAAGACATTACAACAAAGAGATACATTTCTTCTTGTCCAGATGGAAGGTGTATGTTTATGTGGATTAGAAATGAAACATAAAAGCCCTGGGTAGAATGGGTCAGGTGCAACATTTTTCTGATAATGTTTCTTGGGAATCATATTTGGATTGATTTACACATATATTTGAGCATTGCTTTGGGCATCACTGCTGAGATCATGCAAAGAGAGAGAGATAAAGAGAGAGAAGTGAGGCACCATTATCTGATAGCATACTTAATCAGAGGAAGTGGGGGGCGAAATAAAGGGGGAGGAGGGAATAAGAAAGAATGAAACCAGTAACCACCAGACAACCAAGCCCAAACCCCATTTCAGTTAAAGAAAGAGGTGCTCTTCTGGTTGAGGGAAAGTTTAACATCTCAATTAAGACAACCCCCTTAGAAGACATCAATTATGGAACAAAACCCTTTATTTTTTTTAATTTTTAAAAATATTTTATTTATTTGACACAGAGAGAGACAGAGAGCAAGCACAAGCAGGGGGAATGGCAGGCAGGGGAGAAACAGGCTCCCCGCTGAGCGAGGAGCCTGACACAGGGCTCCATCCCAGGACCCCGGGACCATGACCCAGGGACCATGACCCAAGCCCAAGGCAGCCGCTCAACCAACTGAGCCACCCAGGCTCCCCAGAACAAAACCCTTTAAAAATGTTTTTGCTTATTCCTTCTGAGAAACATCTCCTCTCCTCCGTTTCCATAAAACACAAGTCAGATTTCATTTGCTGGAGCAAATGTTTTTCGACAGACTTGACTTGCTTAATTTTCCTGACAATGCGTGCAGTTCATGTTAGAAACTTGCATACACTTGGAAAGGGACATGAGACACTAGGAAGCCAAAACGCCCAGAGGGGCAGCTATATATTACCGTGCTAATCTTTTCCCTTTCTCACAGTGTGTGTGTGTGTGTGTGTGTGTGTGTGTGTGTGTGTGTGTACGCGCGCGCGCGCGCGCCCCCTTGGACTTACGGTTTGGTTTGGATGCACAGTCGTAACACATGGCTACTACGTTCCGACTGGTAAGGGCTAAAGTTAGAAGATTTGTAACGATTACTGTTTTTTCTTTCTCCTCTGTCTCTTGAAAACTGGCTTAAAAAGACTGATTTAAACAATAAACAAACAAAGCAACTCTTCATCGAAGGCTGGAACATTTTCAGAAGTACTCTTTATTTAACTAGGGTGGGAGTGTAGGTGGGAGTGTGTGCACCTTTTGAGACTTGGTTTCTGCATACACACTCATTTTGGTAATCGAGGACATATTGCTGCTCAAGACCAAGTCAGGAGCAGAAAGGAGCTCCAAGTTGTGCGAAGAGGAAGGTGGCCACTCCTAGTGAGATAACTAAAAATGCCCCAACTGGTAGGAAATTTGCGGAGTTTTAAATCTGTGTCTTTGCTCCTGGAGGTCACCTGGACAGTGGGTACAGATTTGCCCTGTATCCAGGCCCTATTTACAGCTAGGGGAGAAGAGAAGAAACCTTGTAGCCAGACGACTGCAAAGCGGAGGCGTTACCCTCTTAATCAACTTTCTCTCCTCCCCTAGACCCAGAGGGCACGTCTCGACCCCTCTCCCCAGCCGGCATCCCGCTTCTCCACTAACAGCTAGCACGTCCCCTTTAAGAGTCAGAGGACGCCCCTCCCTTTCTCCTTCCAGTGCCCCCGCCCTTCACACCTTGGGTGGGAAAAGAGAGTGGGGCGGGGTGGCCGGAGAGGCGGGAGGCGGGATCACTGCGAGCGCCCCAATGGCTCTCCGGGCTGATCGCCCTGGTCTCCGGCAGCCAATGAGCAGTAGGCAGGGGGCGTGGCGGGGCGCTGTTGCAAAGCATCCAACGTGGGCCGACAGGAGGCCGCGGGGCGCGGAGCCCAGGGGGTGTGTGAGGGCGAACGCCCGGGGGTGGGGCTTCAGGGACCAGCCGGGGCTGGGCCGCCTAGAGGCCGGCGGCGAGCGGCTGATTGTTCCGCCGCGAGGTCGGCGGGGTTCTCGCCGAGCTGAGGAGCCTAACAGCCCAGAACTGCGCGCGCGCTTTCTGCCTGCGGCGCTGGGACAGCGAGGCGCACGGGGCCCTCGGAGCAGTGAGGGGGTGACCGCGCCGTCCAGCCCCGGGTCGGCTGCTGGGTGCTCGGAGCAGAGAGGAAGATGCATTCGGGCGCACAGCTCAGGCTGCGAGGCTGAGCGCCTTTCGTGCAGCAGCGGCGGCAGCACTGCCCTCGGCCGACGGCGGCGGCCCTTGGCGTGCGCGGGGACTCAGGAGCCGGCCAGGAGCGCGGCGGGAGGACAAGGAGCATCGGCCGAGCAGCTCTTGCCCGGATCCGTGGGCTTCGCAGCGAGTTCAGCTGGGTCGGCCCGGATGGGCGCGGGGCTCGCGGCCCCAGCCGGGCGCTGCGGAGCGGCCCGGGCACCGGCGGCCCGCTGAGCGCCGGAGCCGCGGCGGCGAGGAAAACTTGTGCCGGCGGCCATGCCCCTGCGCGGAGCCTAGTGCCGAGCGGAGTCCCCGCGGACCGGCCCGTGTCTGCGGTTCGTCCGGGACCTCGCAGCCCCCGCGCTCGGAGTTCGCCGCGCGCTCCAGACAAGATGGCGCGGCCGGTCCGGGGAGCATTTGGGGCCCCGCGCCGCTCACCCTGTCTTCTTCTGTGGCTGCTGCTGCTGCTTCGGCTGGGGCCGCCGACGGCGGCGGCCGACCCGCGACCGCCCTGCGCTGCCGCCTGCACTTGCGCCGGGGACTCGCTGGACTGCGGCGGGCGCGGTTTGGCGGCGCTGCCCGGGGACCTGCCTGCCTGGACGCGGAGCCTGTGAGTGCCGCCTTCCCCCTGAGCCCCGGGCGCTGTCACTTGGAGACAGGGCGGTGGGGGTGCTTACCCGGGATGGGGGTGCGGACTGAGGGGTGTGCGTGTGTGTGTGAAGTTATATGGGCTGAAAACTGTTAGCAAGGCTTCGTAGTGGTGAGATCGTACATGGGGCTCTGGAGGAGAAAAGATTGTGCCTCGTGGGGTGTGGAGGTGGGCGAGCGTAGGTCATGGGGGTGTGGAGGTGAGAACGTGGGGTGGTGAGGGTCCCGGGGAGAAACGAGTGTGCTAAGTGGGGTGTGGAGGTGAGCGAGCGTGGGTCGTGGGCGTGTGGAGGTGAGAACGTTGGGTGGTGAGGGTCCGGAGGAGGAAAAGAGTGTGCTCGTGGGGTGTGGAGGTGAGAGAGCATAGATTTTGGGGTGTGGGGGTAGTGGGTCGTGGAGGTGAGAACGTGGGTGTTGAGGGTACGGAAGGGAAAAGATCGTGCCTCGTGGGGTGCGGAGGTGAGCGCGCATAGGTTTTGGGGTGTGGAGGTGAGCAAGAGTGGGTTGTAAGGGTGTGAAGGTGAATGGGCCCTGGGGTCTGAGAAGATCTGGGAGGTAGTGAGTGGGAGTCTGGAGGTGAGAGAATGTGAATGTAGAGGCGAGGGTGTTTGTGTGTGGGTGGAGAGTGGGAAGCATCTGGAAGGGAGAGTGTGAGGAAGTCTGTCTGGGGTCTGCGGGTATGTGTTTCTTTTTTTCCTCTCCTGTAACCCAGCTCTTTGGTGTCTGAGCTCCTTGGCCTTCCAGTGGGTACTGAAGGAAGGTGACTCTTGGCTCCAGTCTTCCATTTACATTATTTATTAGTGAGAGTGAGTGTGTAGCAGCCTCCTAGTCCCCCAGGACCCTGGTGTCCTGACTTGGCTCTGGCCAGAGTAGAAGACAGCCTTCCCTGGAGGACTCCTGAGTTTGGGGGCTTTGAAAGTTCTTGGATCTATGACCGCTGAGGGTGTGTGAGTCTCTTTCCACCTGATGGGCGTTAGGGAACTGTGTTCCAGACCCTTCCTGTCTATTCCATAGGGGCCCTGTTGGGCTTGATGATCCAGTGGGGTGGAGCCCACACTTCAGCATTTCTCCTCTGTAAATGTGCAGATTAGTTTTGGAGTACTTCAGGAGAGGGTGCCAGGGACATAGTTGATTTAAGCTGTTTGTTTCACCTGAAAGAGACTCTTTTCTGTGCTGCCAGGATTTTGGCCTATCAGGCCTTAGTGGGACCCTACTTACAGGAGATTTGGCGGGAAAAAAACTACTTTAGACTTCTATAAACATGGTAGAATATAATAGCCTTTTTTCTACTTCTAAGAAATCTGGTTCATGAGTCAAAAATCCTATCCAGTTATCAGTAGTTAGCATCTCTGCAGAACTATTAGTACTTTCCAGAAAAGACCTAGCTTGAATCTTCTCTTTTTCGGTTGAATAATTGGACATCTTTCCTAAAACATAGAGGGGCACGGGAGTAACCTCAGGCATGACATTCACTGTTTAAAAAAGAGAAAACCGATGGCACAAGTTTTAACTGACACCTGTGGCTTCATCTAAGAAAATATGGTCTGGGTATCTGGCTGCTATGAGGGGAAAGAAGAGAAGTTGATTCCTTTCCCAGGTGAAGATCCGGTACCTCTGAAAACAGGGCACACATCTGGCACTTGGACCCCACTACATGTTGCCTAATGAGCAAGTACTGCAGAGTTTTGAAGCTGGACTTTTGTTGTGGTTAGGTTTTCTCTGCACTTCTCTGCTTCTTCTGTGGAATTCACTGACTTAGTGAAAACCAGTGGTCGTGGGGGGCTGGGGTAATACAGGCAGTGGCTGTTAGGTAGTGGGAGACAGAGCCCAGCATTGCCAGTAGGTAGTATTTTATTTACTTGGGGCAGTCTGGGGTATTGTGGTTTTTCCTTTACAGAGTCTTAAGATTGTTTTTAAAATAAAAAATCATGTGGGCAGAATCAGAATAACTTTTGAAGTGTTCACCTGTCAGAAGAATGACTATCCGTGCCATATGTCAGTGGCATTGTGGGGAAGGCCCTTAGTGCAGAAGTGGTGACTTCGCCCAGAGGACAGTGTGTCCTTACTTGTACTTCCCTGTGGTCACAAGATCCACTTTGCCTTGTCCTTTAATTTTTGGAGCAAAACTACTGGCCATTTTTTGGGCTTCCTGTTGCTTAGGAGTGACATTTCACATGACATAAATACCTTTCAAATTGCAGTCTTTTCCCTTTTACTCACACATTTGATGACCAATAAATACCAAACTGGGTGTTTTGAGCTTCAGTAGATTTGATCATACTGATTATGGTGTTAACCGATTAGATTTTGAGATGTGAATGGTGATTTCTGATTAGTATGTGGCAATACCGTGTTCACTACAAAATGGGTATTTTTTGAAAAATATTTGTGAAATCATTTTTTTTCTGATTAAAGAAAAATGAAGTGTGTTTGTGTGTGTGTGTGTGTGTTTTAGACCAGATTTCTCCATTTAAGTCATTAGTCTTGTTCTGAGTTTTCCACCGGGATATTTATACGGTTTATACTCATGGCTGTGATTCAGCAAGACTTTAGGGGAGAAAGTCTCTGTATATAATAAAATAAAATATCTTATAGTTTCACCAGGTTTACACCCTCCGAGTCCATTGTGTCTAGAAAATGCTTTGAGCTCGTTTATAACCCCATGAACTAGATTTACTGCAGCTAATTCAAACAATTTCAGGCCGTGGGTTTGAGATAGAAGGGGACCTGTGGCTTTATAGAATTTTTTTTTTTTTTTTGCTTTTGTAAACAGTGCATCTAATTTTGGAGTTGCTCCTAGGCCTGGCCTAGTGTACGGAAAGTAAAACTTTGTAATAGTGAATGTAAATGCAGTTTGAATAGAAAAAATGGTATGGCAGTGGTAGAAGGGAAAATACGTTCATTCCTGGGGCCTGAGGATAACTTCTGCAGCACAATAACTTATGGTTGTAGTAGTTGAGCCATAACCGAGTCTGCCATCCTATTACGTAGGTGAGATTGGCATAGTCCAACCAGCACATTCATAAATAGCACCAAGGATTGCCAAGCCTTATTCCAACTTCCCAGAACCTTAGAAGAAGTTGAACTTCTTAGAACTTAGTTTGCTTTCTTTGAAATTATTTTTGAGAGCAGGGCTTGAGAAGCTGTTGAAGAAGCATTAAATAGAATTTACCTTAGACTCTTCCCTGTGGCATAAAGTTGAGCACAGCATGTTGCTAGTGTAAGCGTTCTGGGGCTGAATGGTGGCTCATGGGATTGTGATAGGAGGGAGGGCAGGCCCTGGAGGAACAAATCCGGATTCTCAGTCATTCTTACTGTGTGTGTGGGGGGGCGGGGCACGACATAGCTTTGAAAGCAAGGACTTTCGCTCAAGGACTCCCAAGTGCGGTTATCCTGAGTCACATTAAGATGAGTGTATTGATTTGGGTCTCTTTGTATTATCTCTCCTTATGTGTTTGCAGTACCAAACTTAAATCTAACCTTGTCGGTTTTGGGCACAGAAAGTGGTGCTCGAGATTGCATTAGAAAATAAACACCAGCCAGAGGTTGCCATTGTAGTTGTGAAGCAAAGAGAGCCTTTGTCTTTCAAATTTTACAGCTGTGCTGGAAGGGCCAGGTGTGCAGGGTGTTGTGAATTAAGGATTTGGAAAATACTTCCCATCCTGTTTATGCAAATTAGATTTAAAGTGATGATGACCAAATTGTTCCAGAACCTCAGCTGAGATTCGTGTGTGTGTGTGTGTGTGTGTGTGTGTGTGTGTGTGTTTAAGAAGTTGATTATTGTCAGGATTGTCCTGATTAAGAAGTTGATTATTGTCTGCCCATTTTTCTCTTTGTGTCCCTATATAACTTAAGAAGAACTCAGCAGACCTCGAACATCTTCTGATTTATGAGGATGAACAAAGGGTGGTTTGGAATAGGGAACCTTTTAAACATGGCTTAATAGCAGAAAATCTGAAAGGTACAAGTACCTTCAGAGTTTTAGGGACATTTAGCTTGGGCTCAGAGTCCTTTTCTTCGCAATAGGTGTCAGAAGCCTGGCCTCCCTTCCCCTCCAAGATGGAGCACTTGTCACTTACTAGTTCTCTGATACCTGTTTTGAATAAGAGAAGTCTGGCAAATAAAATTAATTGCCTTGAGAGAAAGACATACTATTTAAGTCCCTCTGGTATGAAATTATAGCTATCAAATCCAAGTTTTTGAATACCGTGAAATTAGGAAGTGTATGGAGACTCCCAAGTTCCCATATAAGTGAACTGTGTTGGCACACGGTGTCCCTCTTGCATTTAGGATATGTCAGAACCGTTCATGCCCCCTTTCTCAGGGACTATTTTAAAAAGAAAATACCTCTTTCCATAATTACATTTGGTCACTAGATTTCACAAGCTTTGGACTTTAGAATGTATTGTCAGGAATAATTAATCATGTCCAAAAAAACGAAGATGATTCAATGTAATGTAATAAGAGCTGTTTCCTACTGGATGTCCCGACGTCCCGGCACGCTAGGTCTGCTCCTCTGGCTAAAGGTTTCTCTCCCCGCGGTGCTCATTTCTTTGCCTGGGTTCCCCACGCAGCCTGCCCTGAGCACGTTGGGATGGCCTCTGGCTGACCTTTCACTCCCTCAGACACCGGGCTCACAATGAAAGGGCCTCTCCCCCATTCGCAGAAGTGTCTCCTTGGTGCAAAGGCTGTTCAGCATCCTCCCTTTCAGGGTGGACAGGAATGCAAGAGAGCCACTAGGGTTTTGTGTCACTTAACAATGCACCTGGCCCAGTTCTGTGCACCTGCTAAAGCCCTAAAGGCCTGTTAGCCAGGGAAGGGGTGGTTGTTTAACATAGCCTATGGTTATTTTAAAAGTGACATCCACGGGAGAGAGAAGTCTGGAAAAAGGATTCATTGAATTCGAAGTCTCTATAAGTAATAATGGATGTTGGTTGTACCAGGGTCTTTTCTTCTTTTACT